GGGGGGGGAGTTCGCTATCTGCAGGTTGCGTTGAGCCCTGGCGAGGCTCGTGCGCGCCTTTCCGTCTGCACCGCGCTGAGTACTGGGTACTCTCCGTGCACAGAACACCATCTGCATTTTGCTGTTAACGCGCCTTCACATCCAAGGGAGGATTAGAAGGAAAATCCCCAGGTTTTTTCCAACCAGTTGACAAATATCAGATTTGTCTCTAAAAAATTAGCTCCATCTATATCTCCCACCATATGACACACAAAAAAGATTATCTTTAATACCCAGCCAGCTTGGGTGTGGAAAAAGCAGATTAAAGTTTCAGTTTGGTCATATTTACCCATCCACTTCAAGGGCTAGACCGGCTGCATTACACAGCAGACAGACCTCTTCACAAAGAGCCCCCCCCACACAAACACATGTACACCAACCCCCAAGCCTTTACCTTCCAGAAACAAGATGTCTGCCTTGAAACAATTAGACATCATACTTAAATAATTCATCATTTCCCAGTCAGTCTTTCTCTTCTGCATGTCCTTTAAACAGACTGAGGGAGCTGCCAAAGAGGCTAAAGTGAATAACAGCAGCAGGTGCCTTTTCAGACGGAGCTTTGTAGTGTGCAGAGGGAGCTGGGCTGTTATTTTAGTGGCCCACTGGTGAGGAGCAGGGGTGGCTGGGAAATGGACCTGGTTGCTGACCTGAGACCCCAGAGCTGTCCTATTAGCAGTAAGCTTTCCACTAAATGTTACCAGCTGTAATATCTGCCTTCGATTTCTTTTCTCAATGATACAACAATACAATATGCTGCCACCGCTGTCACCTGTCAACTTAAAGATGACAAAAACATTGCTTGAATTCCCATTTGACTGTCTGAAAACATTACCTCCAGAAAAAACTAACTCCTAGAACTCCTTTGACCCTGGAGGAGGTCATTTGAAGTGACAGATTGTGAGACTGGACATGCATGATTATTACCCATCAGCATTCATCAGAGGGATTTAAACATACCGGTAAGATGCTCCTTAAGCCTCTGCTAAGTCAGTATGCTCTTCCCGACCATTTCATTATCAAATGCATAATCGTCATCTGCCGCGGACAGAACCGAGGGCCTAAGGCACCTATACCTGGTGTCCTGGACTTCCTTGCTTCCGCTCAAGACCACTGCCCCACCCAGAGGTTGCTTTATGAACACAGGAGCCCCATAAATGAAATTAAGGTGTCAATTAGTCAATTACAGCATAATAACTCTGAGGGCAGACATTTAGAGACAGAGAGAACCTCGGCTAAGTTCATTTCCTCCGGCCCAGGAGCCTAGCGCTTGGCACACGTCACTCCCCACCCAGACTCGCTGAATAAGGGCCCCAGTGCTCTCCCTAATGTTATTTTCCCCTGGATATCTTTTTTGATCAACAATTTCCTTTCATGGGTTTGTTTTTCAGATGCAGGGGATGCACTTTTTCTCTCCCCAATTTGGCTAGGGAGAATTTTATAATTTAGTAATTAAAATCTTTGTTAGGCTTTAGAAATTGCAGCTAATTGAATTTAATGGGAAGATGAATTTCAATTTTATTTGATTAGCAGGACCCCTGGCATAGGTATTTATGGAAAAAACTCTACAAAAATATGCTGTGTGGGCTAAGATGGCATAATAGAATTACAGATAATCGGATTTCGCTGTCATGAATTTCACTCTAATTTCACTATAATTTTCCATTAGATAGCTGGTTTACAAATATTTGCTCATCTGCGATGGGAAAGGCTATCTGTCTAAAATGATTACGGAGCGAGCCTTCAGAAATATGTCCCTTTTTTCCCCTCCCTTTTAAAAACCAGATTGCGAGGGATCAAAATTAGGAAGATTGCATTATGGATGTCTGCATCCGGGAGAGCAATGGGGGAGATATGATGATTACGGCCGGGGGATGAAAGCAGTGTCAAGAAAAATGTATGACTCAAAAACATAGGCCTATTCTATCTACAAAATCTCTGCTCTCAGCACACTGCCGCCAAGCAACATGCTATATCATAATTCATGTAATATCATAAACACTGCATGAATAAAAGAAAGACATTGCAGCATGTTGACATACAACTATACCTTATCCCTCATACTAACTCCATGTTAATTGCTTTTAAGTGTGTACCTAAAACAAGATTTTGTCATGTGATTTTTACAGTGCATGTATGTAAACAGCTATGCAACAATTATGAAAATCAACTGAGAGTCTAAAGAATCATTGTCATGAGTAATGCAAATGATCATCATCAAGAAGAGGTGCATCACCGTCGTTATTGTCCTGGTTATATTTGTGTGTAAGTTTAATATTCAGCTCCTTCTCTGCTTAAAAATAAATATATAATGCAATATAAACAGACGTGAGAGGGAATAATATCCCACATCACAGACAACCTCGAATAACACTGGGGTGAACTCTCGTTGAATCCCACTTTAAAAGCCCTAGCTTCAGAATTAAGCTTTTACACGTCCAATTTCCTGCCAATTTAACAACAACATGACAGTGAATATCAAGAATAAACTTGATCCATCGTCTGCTGGAAAACACAAACTATTTTAATTTGTTATATTTGAAGTTAGAAGCAGTGCTTCATGCCGCCCACTCCTTCTGTGCACCCCCCCCCCAATCCCCCCCACCTGTACACTCCACCAGTTAGGAGCGACCTCCACCCCACGCCAACTATCACCCACTCCATCTCCTCCCATTCGCTCACTCACTCTTTGCCCTGAACTGCCAGGGACAGCAAGAGGGGTTCAAAAACACAATCTGACTCTCTGCAAAGGTCAGATTTCTCACTCGGCATGTCTCTGGGCTTTGGGCACAAAAGCCACTGAATTCACATCTTTCAACTGGGCCCTGGCTTTTGTCCTGGGGAATGGAGGACTCGGAGTGGGCCCTGCACCAGACCAGCCCCTCCTGGAGTGCACTGTCAGGGGCAGCCAAACGTCTGGCCCGGCGGCCCTTTGACTGATGTACCCCTGCCATGTCACGCGCACAGCAGCGCGCACTCGCACACACACGCATACACACTCCACCTTGCCCTCAACATTCTCCCGCATGCACCATACAATACCCCCAGACCACATCAAACGAAAAGCCCCACAGCTCCTTTTGAAAAGTAATGGTTTTGCCCCCAAAGATGGCAGCTCCAGGGCCAGAGGGCTGTAACGCACGGACAACAAACCCTTCCCTCCTGTGGACTGTGTTACATGAAGAGAAATCAAGTGAAAACGTCCCACAGTATCAAGTTTAGATACTGCTGGAGTTTTGTTTTTACCCATACTGCTGTAGCTGTATGGAAAAAAAGCCACATAGAAGTTTTTATTTCATATATTTAACCACAATCATTTCCATCAGGCTTTTTAAATCAAATAATCTACATATGACTTTCACGCCATTCTTCACAAGATACTTCCACCTTGAAATTTTATAAATTCACTGATCACTACTGATCTGTATACTCTGTAGTGACTATATTGCCATTATAGAGCACCTGTATTGACTTCATGTGCATTGCAGAATGTCCCATTCAATAATAACCATGTTACCAGTGTGCACAAAGAGTTTTTAGTGCTACGCTTCTTCTTGCCGGGCCTCACTAATCCACTTAACGAAATATGTTTATTTTCATAATATGTGATTGATGATGAACAGAACTGACATTCGACACAAAAAAACTTTAACCTTTGCAACAGGTCTGTCAGGTCAGATCATGCAGAACAATAACAATTTATTCATCACGTCTAACAAAAGCTTTGGTAGTATTTACAGTACAGTGTTAGAGCAAGGGCGGGAACTTTTTTGATAGAAATTCTTTTATGGACATTTTCCTTTATGTGGGTTGGAAGGAGGAGACAAAGCGGTTTTTTTCCATTATTAAACAGGATGAGTCATCATAACTTCAGAATCCACCAAAACCTGTTTTATGCACATACTTTGGACTTTGCTGACAGCACTCAGGAACTGAAGCCAGCAATGTGCATCACTGTGTTATGGTTCACAGCCATAAAGTTGTTCATTTCCCCTTTTCTATATCCATTAAATGTTAGTTACACACCACCTTTATTCAAAAAAACAGGAATATCCAGTGACCTTTCAAAGTTTGGACTTTTTTTTAGTCTTTTAGTATCAGTTTGTAAACACCGCATTCTTGAGAGCCATTTAGAGCCATGTTTACAGCATATGGGCAGTGTGTATGTACAAATGGACCAGAGGCACTTTGCATGCCACTGCGGAAGAAACTGCCAGGCAAATAAGGGGTTTGTCTTATAAAGTATTCATTGTCACCTGGTAACGGCTGTCGTTTATCATTTCACCTGAAATTACAATGAAAACTGATAGCTTATCAGAGGGAGGGAAGGAGAAAGAGTGTGCTCTGAGGGAGAGAGGCGTAGAAAGTGTACTACACGGCACTGAAATGGAGAGGATCCCTGTTTTGTGAGAGAAGTGAAAGAGGTATTTGCTTCAAGCTAATGTTACGTCAAATATATACAGGACTATATATTGTACCCAGTTTGAAATGTAGTTAATTTAATCCTTTAGTACATGACATTTAGTAATAGTAAGTCCCTGTAGCTGGGACCTAATATAAAACAATGATAAATTGTCAGAATTTAAAGAGCAGCTTTTACACTCAGTCTCTATTTGACTTTTCAACTTAAATAATTCTGCCACTTCTTCCTCAGTAAAAGTGGAATATATCTCGATAAACGTGTGCTCTGATCCTCCGCAAAAACCTTTCTTTTTTTCACAAAGTGTTGTGCTATACCCTCATTTGAATAGAGGCAGTGGAGGCTCCACCCCAAGAGAGTTGAAAGGCTAGAGGACCACAAAGATGGAAAAGGCCAGCCCACTGAGGGAGGGAGAAAAAAAACTGCTCCGGCTCCTCTGCCATAATTTCCTATCAGTCTATTCAGAAAACATCACCAACAGCTTGGTCTGTGCGTGTGTGTGTCTGTGGGAGCAGAGCAGAGCAGAGAGAGAGAGAGAGAGAGAGGCAGCGCACGCAGAGGCAGAGAGAGAGCGACACAGAGAGAGCAGGGAAGGGGGAGGCTACATTTTCTTTCACCTACCCCCCGTCAAACCACAGGAAGGAGGGGCCAGACCCTAAGCTGCCAATCAAATCCGCTCGTGGCAGCCGGCATTATCTCAGCAACAAACTATTGACAGATTACATGTCAAGGAGTTTAGTGCATGATTGAAGGAAGCCTTTTTTTTTAAGAAATCTAGTTACTTTTCCGCTTTATTTCCCCTCCACCAACCAACATTCGAATGACTTTCCAGCAGAGTTGAGTAATATTATGAAAGTTACATGTCTGAGAGGATTTAACTTCGACTTTGCTGAATATGGTGAGTACTCCTCTTCTTTTTCTGTCTGTCGCCAGATATGTTTTATTAGCTGACAGTTTAAGGTGTGCCTTTATCTCTGACTAAATATACAGAGAGGGGAAGTTGTTCATGATTTAACTACGTGCCAGTGCGTATGTATGCCCGAGTGTTGCGACACCCTTATTTATAGCTCTTTGACAGTGCCCAAAGGTGACTGCAATATCAAATATGATTGCCCATTTCTCTTGCACACGACCCATGAGGCTGTGTTACACGCAGTCCACATGTGAAGAAAGTTCACAAAGCCAGTTTCATTTTCTCTTGTCAGGGAGCTTTTTTTCTCCCAGGACATGAGACCAGCACAACTCCCTGTTTAGCTTTCTTTTTTTCTTTCTTCATCCATTGTTTTTCCTTCTTGATTTTGTCCCTTCCTTTAATTACATGTTTTTAAAAAAGCCAACATTTGCTATTGTAGAAATACAGGTAGGCTGTTGGTTTTACCCACAGAGGCACTCGCAATACCATCAGGGTACAGTGAATGGCCTAAGGGTTTGTTGCCAAGGGGACAAAGCAAACAAACTGTTGTGTTGCTTATGTCGTTACACATGTAAAGGGAACTAACATCAGCAATAGCATCGTTCCAGGTACTTCTAATTAGTGTAACGTTCAGCACACAGGTGTATGTTACATTCAAAAGAAAATAAATCAAGTGCATGTTATTATAGCTAGAATAATATTTGAAATATCAACAAAATATTGTCAGTTATGAGCGTTTTTCTGCAAATGTACAGATGGGGCTTGTTTGACATTTTATTAGAGCTGCAACTGTCAGGTTTACAGTCAGTCTGTGCGTACTTTTGGGAGGATAAACTTGTCCAGTGTTACTGGATTACACTTTACACTCATGAGCGTCGCTGTCCTCACCTCTTCACTTGAACGAAGGGTTTGTGTACGTGTTTTAAAATTAGTCCATTTTAATTTTTGGTTATTTCTGTTTCATGTGTACGCTATGTAAGCGTTTGTGTTTGCATGCATTGAGTCGTGTGTTCTCTTCACACTTGTATGTATGTATTGATAGTCTCTGTGTATTTCATTATTTGCACCATGCATAAATATAACTACTTTATAACTTAATTGTAAATAACAAGTTAATTTTAGTTTTTAAAAAAAAGCATAATTTTAAACTTGTGGAATTTATAAATATTTGGTAAGTAATGTGGTGATATTTTTTTAGTAAGCTGTTATTTTTAATTTTATATAGAATTGTTATAAATTATCGAAATTATGCTATAAATATATATATTCAGATTTATTCCATATTCATGGCTTTACATATTTTTAGAGAGAAAATCTGTAATTAAAACTTCACTGGAGAGCAGGGTTTGCTCCAGGCTCTTATTTTTAATACGTTTATTTGCCACTGACATACTGTCCCTGTGTCTTATTTGAATCCCCTCAACAATTATTTGTTTTCTCCAGCTGTCTAATCTTGCCGTTAAGCACTCCTGACACTACACAGGCTTCTCTGCTCTTTAACTTGTATATGGCACAATTAATGAAAAATAAATCAAATCAAAGATGGTGCTGGTTATTAAATAAAATTCTCAGAGACCGTATAGGCGACCACTATCACCACAGGGTTTCACAAACACACGACAGACAGACACTGACAGACAGACAGACATGAAGGCTCAGTTATTTTGTCTGGTTATTTCAGGTACCTTGTGTTATGGTCTAAAATAACAACAGACAAATACGAGTGTTTTCATGACACACCTTAATTTCAAACTTTTCGTCAGCTCTGAAAATGTTTTTCTACCCTCTTATGAGTCATAATGTTGATTGCCTTCTCCCTCACTGAGTTGTCTCATTAACCCTTTGTGGCCCTCTCCAACTTTTACGGCCTTCCACAAAAAGCAGAATGAAATGAGGGAGAAAAACAAGCCCAGGTCTGAAGGCCCTCAATAACCTTTTATCACAATTTAGCAATAACCTGAATCAATTTGATGTCTTAAGCAATAAAATATGCTGTTGCACTCCTATTTCTGCTGCTCCTTGGATGACAGTAAATTTACATTTTTTAATTAAACTAGCCGGAATTTTTATTAGGGGGCTGGGCTATGCTAATGGGAATGTTGTGTACAGCAGATTAACAGAGTTTTGAAATAAATTTAACAGGGAGACATTTGGAGGAAAAAAAATGCGAGTCATTGTCTTTAACCTCTTTCATGCCGATTTCTCCTGGGGGATCCTTGTATTCTAAGGAGCCTTGTCAGGGAAGAGTGCTTCTCAGCAACGAGGTGATTAGTGTCGCCTTGTCAACCGAGGAAGAACGCTCACATCCCCATAATTTATTTGTTCAAATGATGCCAAAATATATGATTTTTGTTATCACTTACATATGCATTTGAATATACTGACACCATGTACACCAGGCTTGGTTTCGAATTACTTGTTAAAAATTTCTCCATTCATGTTTTATTTAGGTTTTTGAAATGTCAAAAAACAAGAGATTTTATTTTATCATTTAAATTTATATTTAACACTGCATCATCAATGCATCCTTTCTTTTAATTTTCCCGCCTTAATCAATTTAATCAAGTATACATTTACTTTTCTTATTTTACAGCTACATCAGAGCAGGACAATGTACAAAAGTGACAAATACAGTAGTTAATGGGAGTGTATATGTTTGTGTAGTTTTATGGTGCGCTTTCAGTGTTTGATTGATGTTACGCGAGGCTGTGTGTGTTATGCCTGGTTTTAGCAGAGTGGCAGTGGGAGAAAGGGGGGAACATAGACAGCAGACAAGGGGAGGGAGGTGTGTGTGTGTGTGTGTGTGTGTGTGTGTGTGTGTGTTAGGGGGGGGTTGAGACAGAAAGAGAGGGACAGCTGAGTCCGGATTGAGCATGTGCCCAGTCATCAGACACAAGCCACCCAACACCATAATTACCCTAACCCCGTCTTTTAATACCCAAATCACACCAACTGCCTTTTTTTCCTTTACGGCAGAAAGAGGAAACATCGGAGATCAAACGAGCAAATAAACTCCAGATGCACGTGGGCTGCCAGGCATCTTGCCGCAGTAGCCAAAGTGTTCAGGGCTACTTGATATGGGCCAGGAGTGAAGCAAGTGGCATCACCACCCCTTTTCTTCACTCCTGTGCACTCATGCAGTGGCCAGCACCTAATTAAAACCTCAAAGCTCCCCGTCACCAATCTGGAGTAATGGCCTAATTAATACTCGGTGAAGAAATATTCCAGAATGATAAACAGGTTGCACCTTGGGTCTTCATTGCCTTTATTATCTAAAATATAACAAGCCAAGTTTTATTATCACAGATAATACATGTTTGTTAAACTGCTTCGCTCGAAATGAGGGAAAAAAGAGAGGGTGAATATCCTTTTTAATTATACTATCTTTAAAAGGATTGCCATGAATTATAAATTAAATGAGCAATTAGAAAAAAGCTTTACCATTTATTATGTTTCAAGGAAAAAAACTTTTTTTCTTTCTCATATGTTTCAGCGTCCAGCCGAAATGAAACCCTGCATTTAATCTCACAGCTGAATATGCCGTGTCATGTATTCTTGTGTGCAGAGTCAAGGGCGAAGCTTCCAGTAACTTTTCTCTTTTTTTCCCTAATCTGTATATGAAATTATAATTTCATGCAAAGTCTAAGAGAGAATAACAATCTCTAGTCATTGATATGCTATATAAGAGGGGAAAATGGGAAAATGAGGAGGCAATTAGCAGAGTGGAAAACTTTGGCGCGTTTGTCTGAAAGCATGGTCTCCACTGGCCATGAATGAATTTGCATGCTTTGCTTATCGAAGCGCACTTATTAGGGGCAGCTGAAAGAGAGATTAAGCCGGCACAAAATGTGGTGACTAATCCTTTTAAATGTGGCAGGGGGTCTTTAAGGTGTGAACCAGCCCGTACGTAGGTTAGAGGGTATGGAATGTGACAGAACACAACTCTCCATACGACCCTCCATGTGCAGGAAAAGGCAGCAGCAGCAGCAGATGTGGGGTTATTTAATGACAAGGACAGTGATTGACACAGGTAATAAATTGATAGTTTATCTCCTGACCCTCTTATCCTTGGAAAAAAATACAGCAGGTGGGGTCAGGCTGGGTTGAGATAATGACGGGAACACTTTGTGGTCCAACATCAATGACATTTTCTTGTTTTTTAATTAATCAATCATTGCTAGGGAGTTTAGTAAATCATTCATCTGAGGCAAAAACTGGAAGAACAGACGAGGAGGTGTAGAAGCAAACCTTCTCACTTTAACACCGTTTTTCAGCGTTGAGCACATCTCTCAGTTTCAGTTCTCGGTCACCTTTTCTCTGACGGGAATCCAGCGCCTGTTTTACAGTCTTTATTCTTGATATGAGGAAAGAGAAAAAAAGCACAAACAAACATGGAACCTCTTTTTTTCTGTCACCTTCAATGTGAGCGAGGAAGTGTTTGCTCTGGCGAGTTACAGAGCCAATACCGCTGTCCTCGTTCCGTAATTGACTGCAAACAGGAACGTAGTGACGTTTAAACACTGCCCTCCTTCTCTCTGCCGTGTCTCGCACACAACATGCTCCACAACCCGACGCCCCCTCGACTCCAGATCCCCCCCGCTTCTGCCGTGTGTTTCTTCATGTGACTCTCTATTCACTTGGGTCAGTAGCAGGCAGCACCAGCAATAATTACTGTCTGTACATGATAAATCTGAAGCCCAGCTGTTCGTTTCTGTCACTGCCAACAGAAAGAGGGGAAGAAAGATAGAGAAGAGGGGGGGGGAGAGAGTGAGAAAGAGGGGAAGAGGCCAGGAGTTTGCAGTTTGTCAGATTTTCTTTTTTTTTCACTTGGTAACTTGATAGGATTACATGGTTCTAGGGCCCACACCTGTTAAGAGGCTGTTAGCAGAACAGTTGGCAGTCCCATAGCCACAGCTTAGCCATTTTCTTCCCTCGCTGCTGTCCGTTCTGTATCCTCTTTTGGGGATTTCACCCCCGCGTGTAGT